CCCTCACTTCCTCATCTGTAACATGGAAGTTACAATGACCTACCCCACAGGGTTCCTATGAAGATGAGGGAAATAAGTACTGAAAAAATCACTTCACGATGTTAAGAGGGCTGTATAAATGATTCATGATGACTTAGTGCTTTCCGTGTATGAGTAATTTTATATTTTCTGAGGGAAGTTAATGGGGTAGTTATTGCTGCCTCTAGAAAGCAGTGTGTGTTTATATCTCCAAAAGTGAGGGGGAATTGCCATTATTGCTATTACTGTAATAAGATATATTTGGCCCTGGCATCTCTTGTGAAAAGGATCAAATGGTGGATGATGAGAAATAACCTTCTCTGCCAATCAGGGTAGAGAATGCCAGGCTAGTGGATCATTAATTTGCTTATATTTTTATATATATAAAAAAATTGTTATCAGTATGGAAAAATATAACAAGTACACCAAATTAACAATAGCAAGAATTTCACACAGTGGGCTATCCTAAAGATTAAAATGACAAAGAGCCCAAATGGGAAAACTAGAATAGGAAGTAGCACTTTTTGAAGACAAGTCAGAAGTGCAAAAAAGTGAGCTGAATCCAGGAAAGAGAATACTTACAATTTGTTCCAAAACAAATCTCTCTTGTTGTTTGTGTATTGTTCACATGTGTAGTAGGTTCACAAGTTGCATAAAATGTCTCTGGCATCTCTTGATTACTGACGGCCTGGATTTGGCAGGTTGATGAGTGTGACATAGAAAAAGACTCTTTCCTATATTCCTACCCTGTGCAGGTGCCTGTGGGCAAAACATGGACCTCGCCCTCCTCAAGATGTTTGTCAATCTTACATTGTCATATTCTTGCAAGGTTCCAGTCATGTTGCTAACAAGACACCACTCATTTGCACATAAGAATTTAGGTAGGGTTAATAGCATTATTTTAATAACTTAATTGCTCATGAATTAATCCAATGGAAAATGACTTGAGCTCTCCAGGTAAGAAATAGTCTGGCACTCTGGAAACAGCTGCCCCTATCTTTTGTTCTGGAACCCTTATTCAACCCTTATGCTGGGATAAACAACAACCATTAATGCTGCTGTGTGACAGTTCTTCACCTGTTTTGCCTCTGCTTGCTGGTGATGCTGATGAATGAGATTACTGTTAAGTTGTGGGTGAACATATCAGATGACACAGCGATTCTTCAAACAGCTCTTGTTTATTCACAGGCCAGAACAGAACTGAACTGAAGGGTTCAGCCAGCCTGTTTAAATAGAGCTCCACTAGAACACAACAGTAACCATTTTCTGTAACTATCCAATCACTGAACGTCACTTTCAGTCCCTTATTTGCATATGTGGACCTGAGTGAAAACTATCTACAGTATCCCCCTGCTGGCCCAGGGTGAGAACTTCATTACATAACAATTGCATAGCCCTAACATTGGCCCGCAGCAATTCCAGGCTCATGGGCCTATGAAAGCAACGGTTGGATCAGTGTTTGTTGTGAGGAAGGAAGGGAAAGGAGATTGTTAGCTGCTTTGAGCTACCTTAGGGTAGTGATAAAGCGGGATATCAAATCCAAACTCCTCCTCCTCCACCATCCTATGCCTTTGACATTACAGGACGTTTGGTAGTTTTGCTCACTCCCCTCATCGTATGTTTTACTTCAAGCAATGCAAATCCTTGCAGGCGAAGCTGTCCCTTGTGATTGGGTTGCACGAGATCCCGCTTTTTTATAAATACAAGATAAAAACAGGGTTGAACTGCTGTTTGCTATGTGAGTAGCTGCTAGCACCTTTAGCCCTGCTGACACATTAATATCTAATCGCATAAAGGGACAAAATGCAATGTGCAGTAGAATGCCATCTGTGGCAGCAAACTGTGGGAGCATTTGCTTATGATGCCTTGATAATATGCTATCAGTTTGCCTGTCAGACATAGTCAGCCTCAGCTGACAGCGGTGGTCTGGGTGCTGGCAAGTGCATTGCAGGGCTTGGGATTTTGGGGGTTTTAGGAGAATAATTGTTAGTCACAAGGAGTATGCTGTAAGGTACATGAGTAATGGGTATATCGCATTTTGTCCTATCGTCCTGGAGTGAACCGTTGCTATTCCATGATGGTAAACAGTGTTATACAGTATTTTAGTTTCTACTGACAAGAAAGAAATAGGAACCAGGATGAATAGAAATATTGAAAGGAAAGCTCCATAAATAATACTACGTGATGGTTGCACAAGCATTCATATTGCTCTGTGTACATCCCACAAAACAATGTGTGTGTTGTTGCTCATGAAAAATCTACATGTTATTTATTTATACAATTCATAACCAAAGTTCTCTGGGCAGTTTGCGGGGATTAAAACACGAAATTCCCATACAATGTCGCTACAAAGTAAGCTTTTAAAAAGCCCTTAAAAATGGAAAGCAGAGGAAAAAGACTGTGCGGTAGTAATTCAATTAAACCAAGCACCAGAGATTAAAACATCCATAGAATAAAACCAAAACATAGTTTCAAAGGTCTGGAAAAACAAATATATTTTCACCAGAAGAACAGGATGGTAGGCCTTTTTCTGTGAAACCACTATTTTAAAAAATCCCACCTTTCTAAATACAGTGGTACCTCAGGTTAATAACTTAATTCGCTCTGCAGGTCCGTTCTTAACCTGAAACTGTTCTTAACCTGAAACACCACTTTAGCTAATGGGGCCTCCCACTGCCGCCGTGCCACCGCTGCGCTATTTCTGTTCTCATCCTGAAGCAAAGTTCTTAACCTGAGGTACTATTTCTGGGTTAGCGGAGTCTGTAACCTGAAGCATCTGTAACCCGAGGTACCACTGTAGTGGAACTCAAGGTGGTGTGCAAAGGTTTCTCACACCATCTCTCATTTTGGTATTAGTTCAGCCCAGTACTGCTTCTCTTCAGTGGGTTTACTGTATCAGAAAATCAACCTTGTTTGAAGTGACTGTTAACAAATGCAGTTTTGCCCAAAGGCACTTTATAGTAGAATCCTATAAGTCTCTACTCAGGGGTAAGTCCCAGTAAGTTCAATGTGATTTATTTCCAGGTAACTGGATAGAAAATTTCTACGTACCTCAGTGTAGCGGCCAATACTCTTTCATCCCATCATTAACATAACTCAATTTACCTGTGCATCAACAAGATAGTATGGCACCTGGCAGATTTTTGGTTGGGCAGTGGCCAGGTTGAAAATGGGCAACAGTCAGACTCCAATGAGGATAGTCTCAACCAATTGAGTGCATCAATTTTCTCTTTCTTTCTTTCTTTCTTTCTTTCTTTCTTTCTTTCTTTCTTTCTTTCACCAGTGAGCATGATATTTAAAACCAGGCTTTGATCAAACTACAGCTTTTATAAACAGTGACCTTGGTTTTGGTCAGTAATAAAGTTTTGGTCCTAGGTTTCTACTTGAGATTATGCTGATTATGCTGCCGTGTTTGGTGTGAGGCTAAATTTCTTTTAAAAAGAACTCAAAAGCAGTGATCTCATTATATTCTTATGCGGGAATCCAGTTAGCTTCAAGCTCGTTGGCCTTGAAAATCATTTATTTCCTTTCAAGGCCTTTTAAAACAGCTTTGTAACCTACTCATAAAGCTGCCTCTAAACCTTTTGAAAACTTAACAGCTATAATTGATTAGCATTTTAGATAAATGTTAAGCCCTATTAATTGCTTTGTTACGATGTTGGCTTTTCTGACTTTATGTAATTTTGAGATGCAAGTTCATGCTATAGAAGGCTGCAGTAGACTCAGTTTGATGTACTGAGAATGGCGTTAGATGAGGTGCGACAGTCTAAATTGGGCTCTGAGTCTTATGTTCTGACCATAAGATTAATGCATCAGGGTTCTGGCAGGCAAAAAAAAATAGAATCATAGAATCATAGAATCATAGAGTTGGAAGAGACCACAAGGGCCATCGAGTCCAACCCCCTGCCAAGCAGGAAACACCATCAGAGCACTCCTGACATATGGTTGTCAAGCCTCTGCTTGAAATAGCTAGCCCTTTGCGGGGTTGAGAAAGAAGCACCCTTCAGACGCACCACAGATATCCCAGTTGAAACATTCTTTGCTCCAGGAAGCCAAATAATAAAGTACTATTATCTATGTTCTGCTGACTTCAGATTAGGCTTCTGAGATGCTATATAAATGGGGCTACCTTTCAAAACTTCTTGGAAACTTCATGTTGTCAGAGACTGGTCCAAGGGAACACATCTTTTGAAATGGCTACACTGGGTCTATTTCTAAGCACAATTCAGAGTGTCAGGGTTTACCTTTAAAGCCACAGGCAGCTTGGGACCTGGATGCCTGAAAGACCACCTTCTCCCTCATGAACCTGCCCGTCCTCTGGACTTTTGGAGGCCCTTTTGCAGGTCAACCTGCTCTCTGAAGTTGTTGTTGTTTAGTCATTTAGTCGTGTCCGACTTTGTGACCCCATGGACCAGAGCACGCCAGGCACTCCTGTCTTCCACTGCCTCCTGCAGCTTGGTCAAACTCAAACTCTCTAAAGTTAGTGTATTGCAGACGAGGAAGGCTTTCTCAACTGTGGTGGATTTTTGGCATGCTCTCCCCAGGAAGGCTCGCCTGGCACCCGCCCAAGTTATGTCTTTTATTTCCTCAGTCTTTTAAGAGTGAATCTGACTTGGCTGTTGTTGTTTTCTGTTGTCGCTGCTAGTCAGGCCATTGCTCAATTTAAATCTGTCTTGTCTACCCTGACTGAAGCAGGTCTCCAAAGTTTCAGGCAGGAGGTTTTCCCCAAAAGATGCTGGGGATTGAATTTGAGCCACTTGCATGCAAACCATGTGCTCTTGTCACTGATCCGCACCTATTTCCTTTGGAGCTTTTGGATAGTTTTATTGTTTTAATCTTCTCGACAATACCCTGACAGCACGCATGCATACACACACACATACATGTATGAAGCACAATCAGTGAATGAATAAAATTAATTCGGGCTACACTCAGAACAAAATCTCCAGGATCCTGACTGCGAGAGGTTTCTGTTGAGCTACAAGGATGGGAGGAGAATAGATTGTTGTTGTTTTTTCTCTCTACTCAGACACCTCTGGCATATCCTTCCATTAACAATTCATTTGCTGCTGTTGTTTTCCTGGCTGAGTGCCTAAATATTCTTTGTGTTGTTCTAGATATGTATTAGGAGTAGATGGCAAAAATCCACAACATGCAGGTAGCTCCTGTCATGCAGCCTGGGACACCTCAGTCATCTTACTTATTTATCACAGCCCCCCATCTTTAGCACTGAAATATCCTTCTTGAGCTGGGGACTCTGCGTTTGTGCCTCCACCACTCCATCATCACAGGGAATGTCCATCTTACATGGTCTATATACCACATATATCAAAGCTTGTTTGTCCTAGTTGCTGTAACGACCTATGTTCTGAACAAATAAAATCCGTCTTATTCTTTTAGTAGGAATAGGTAAAGGGTACAGGGACCCCTGACCATTATTAGGTCCTGTCGTGACCGACTCTGGGGTTGCGGCACTCATCTCGCTTTATTGGCTGAGGGAGCCAGCGTACAGCTTCCGGGTCATGTGGCTAGCATGACTAAGCCGCTTCTGGCGAATCAGAGCAGCGCACGGAAACGCCGTTTACCTTCCCGCCAGAGCGGTACCTATTTATCTACTTGCACTTTGACGTGCTTTCGAACTGCTAGGTGGGCAGGAGCAGGGACCGAGCAACGGGAGCTCACCCCGTCGCGGGGATTCAAACTGCCGACCTTCTGATTGGCAAGTCCTAGGCTCTGTGGTTTAACCCACAGCGCCACCCGTGTCCCACCCGTTGCACACTAAAATGGAACGCTAACCTGTAAATTGAAACGCTATTTTACTTCCAAGGAAAGGAGCAGGGGAAATGAGCTGCTAAGAATAACGATAAGAGAAGATAATCAGTGAATGAAGAAAATAGTGTTCCCTGTTCCCTGTAGCCTTTTAGAATTCTCAATTGGGACAGCATCGCATGATGGGGTTTCTCTGTTTCTCAGACCCTTCAGGGACACAGTAGCATACGAAATGTATATCATCACAGAAATTTCACCTCAAGCGAAATTCAAAGCAAACAATTTTTTTGTGTTGGTGGATCGCACAGGGGCATTTGGATACTATGTTATAAGATAAGGGGCTCCTGCTTTAATTGCAACTGCTTAAATGCCTTAATTAGTACAATATTCTCCGGTGCAGATGTTCAACACTGTTTTCCTTGTTTTCCTACTTCATCTTAGCCGGAGAATTCATTCCCTCTCTCCCCCACCATGTTCTGCCAACTCCATCTTTCCACTGAGATAATGCCCACTGATACTGAAAAGAAGAAGGGGACTTTCCCACATGCCAAAGGCATTTTCCATGAACTTGAGACATGCCTTCTTATGAATGCTTTAGTGTCCTCAAGTTGATAGGCCTGCCGCTGCTTATGCAGAAAACCACATGATCCTGAGTTCCCAGGACTGCACCATTTTAAGTGGGGAAGAAAGTTTTTAAATTCTTTTCCCACTTTGAAAATTTCCTTCCTGTTAAAAGCCAGCATATCAAAAACAATATTCTATCCTAGCCTTCCTCTTGGCTATGTTTCTGTGAATGAGCATTCAGTTCCCTTTCTGCAGTCTGGAACGGGACGGGCCTGGGTGGAAATTTCAGACCATGTTATTTTCTGCATCTGTAGCTTGGTTTCTTTCCTTTGCGTCTGGGCTACATTTACATGAAAAGAAATTTGCCCAATTCAGATTTCTGGTATGAACCTTTAAGACAGTAAATGGTTTGAGACGGGATTGCTAAAAAGACTGCCTGCACCCATATGAGACTGCACGCAATATGCAAGGTTTTGCTTGGAATATTTTGCATTAGTCTCCCATCAGAGAAATACTCTGCCTGCCTTGCAGCGGCCTTTTCCTGCCAATTGCGCCTGAGTGAAGCCTTATGAAACAGCTTTCTTCACATAAAAGCAAAAGCCTTTTAGCTGTCATTTCTGAATTCTCCCCCTGCCCACCTTGCCAAGCGCTTAGCCTCTTAACACTCTCAAAGCTATCTCAGCTTAAACTAGCCCCCCCCCCCTTTTCTTTCATTCAGACCAGACCAAGGACAGGGAAGTCAGCGTGATTTTACTACTGAAAAGCCATGATAACTGAGGACATCGCCGCAACCCCCGCTTCGTCTTTTTCCAGCCTTATGCTGTAAAATATTTTAAACAACCTGTCATTTAAAGCAATATATTCTCCTATCCTCCATGTTTTTAAGTAGCTTTCAAAGTAGCAAATAGTAATTCATGCCCTCTGTTGATAATCCCTGTAGGGTTTCAGCAGGCAGGTGTTTTAACTACAATCTCTTCTACGGTTCGTTTCAAGTCATGGTAAAAAGTATCCTGTAGAATACCATGACCCCTTTCTTCAAACCTTCGTATTTTCTAGTTCACTGATTCCCCAGCCCTTCCATTCCTTTCCCTTTGCATCTAAACATTGGCACAACACTCCTAAGATACAATTTCCTTTTATCCTTTCTGATTGCCAATGGGGTTTGAATCCTCCTTAGGACACTTGAAGAAATGATATTTTGCTATATGCCTTGGGTAGGGTTTTTTTTTAACATGACTCTACTGTGTGTAATTAATCATCTTGCATCAAGTCATTAAAAGTAATTCAATATGAGAATCACAGAATTGTAGAGTTGAACGGAACCACGAGGGTCATCCAATCCAAAGCAGAATTACAACTTTAAAAAAACGAATATATTATTCATGTCAGTTCATAAAATGGAAACAGTTGTGTCTAAGAATATAGAAATGCGGGCTAATACAAACCACGAACTTTGCTTAAATGTTGACCAACATTTATGTATTTTTTCCTGTGTGTTCTTTGCTATCCTTTTATCCTGGATTTCTAACGATGCCTAACTTGTGAAAGTTTCCCAAGTTTTCAAACTGTGCACTTTCAATATTGCTTTCTCGTGTTCCAAATTAATTCATTAAATAACATTTCAATATTTTTGGCTTTTCCTCACATTTGGTAACATGGATTGTTGTCACTGTTCCCATACTTTGCAGCTGGGCCATAGGATTGGCTGGGTCTCCACCAACAATCTTGCCACATTTCGTTCTTATTTCTGCTGGTCACCACCCCTCAAATCATCTTTGTACATCTCTGGTACATGCAGGCCTCCTGGAATTTCTTATATTGCATATATGCTCAGTGCTTATATTCTTATTAACAAATGCTATATTTTTGCAATTGTACCTATGTGTCCATATTTTCTCCTAGCAGAATTTGACACCATTTCCTTTACCCTCCTCCCCGAAAGAAACATCAGAGGAACATTGAGCTGGCAATTTGATATAGCTGTTTTATGAGATTATAAAATAACCAAGTGCTGTACTTAACTAATGGATGAGAGGGATAATTGTTTCATTTGTCATCAACCAATGTGCATTTGTACAGTCACTTTCCATCCTTGCTGGTGAAATGTCTAGGTATTTTGGTTTGGGAGCTGGAAAAATGTGATAGCCACACACAAAAATGGAAAGTATTGGTTACTTAGCAAACTGATCACCAATAACAGCACTGCCATGAACCATCTTTCATATCAGAGGTACTTCCACTATTCCGAGTAGAATTGTGCCTGTTTCTGCCTTGATGTCTTGGTCTTTTCAGCGAAGAGGTCTATGCACGGCCCATTAATTTCCTATCAACGTAGGGTTAGTGGGTCCCAGAAGATCCCTTTATTGATGTTTGGCATTTCCCCAGGTCCCCGCGCAGCATGAAACATCACTTTACTTCATTATCTTTTTTGAAGGAGGTTTTATTGGAGGATATACAATTCCTTTAATGATGTTTGCCATGTTATTTTTACCTTCATCTGTTAGTTTGTTTAGCTAATAGTTAGATCTTCCTACACTTTAAAGCTCATACTTATGCATGAAATATTAATGGTAGAAATAATGATCCACTGTTAATGTTTCCAATTATGAGAAGAAAGGATTCAGGAAAAACAATACTGATATTATTTTTATAATATTATAAATAAATGTTGGAGTAAGTGCTGCACACACACACAGCCATAAGAAATAAAGTCCTTCCTATAGCACACACAAACACATCCTTCTGTTTGCTCAGGTTTAGGGTTTTGGTAGTTCAGTCATAGTTTGTTAAATATGTGTGCTTTTTAAATATAATTCTGATCTCACCAAAACAAATATTTTAAAACAGATACCACATTAATTTTCTTTAGCAGCTAATTGGATTGATACTTTTATCCCCAAACTTTATTTCCTGAGGCACTTTGCATAGTTACACATACTCACAAGATAAATTGATAATTTCGTGGATTAAACCTCGTTAATGGAATGATTGCTACAAATGCATGAACTGACTGCTACAGCTGAGATTTTAATAAGCACATTTTTAAAGTCCTCTTCAATTAATAACCTTGATTGTAAAATCTTGTATCACCTATTGTGATTGTAGTGGGAAGCCCCTCACCCTTCTTAGTTCACCTAATGTGATGGTTTGGAATATCCAGTTGCTTAGGGAACAAAGCAGTTTCCAGTCCAGCTTCTGTAAGGAAAGAGAAAATTGTTAGTTTGGAATTAGAACCCCAGGCAGGTATTGAGAACTGCTTCTGGGATATAGGGAAACTATAGGACAGGGAGCCCAGAGGCAAAGAGCCTGAAGGAAGAGTACCAGTTAGGTAAAGGACTGAGGAATACATTGGGTTTGTGAGAGGCATATAATTTCAGCAGAACTTGCCGCTTTAGTAAGTGTGATTCAGATTGCAGCTGAGATGCTACTACATTGGAGGTCAGAAGCTGCTACTCAGGTTTTTCGCAAGGGAGGGCTTCATGCTGAACTAATAATAAAATGAGTTGGATTCCAGAAAGGCAATCAATAGACGTGGCAGTCAATAGAAAGTAGTATTTTTAATAGGGTGGAACTAAAAATAATTTTTAAAATACACGGGAAGTTACTCATGGAAAATACATTGGGCTGTTGAAGCAGATAAACCACTTTATTATTGGAAATAATAATGGAAACACGGATAAACTTTAGGCCTCGGTCCATAATCAAAGGTGAATTGCAGACCGTACTGGTACACCCCAATATTATTTTGATTCAGACATGATTGTGCTGATAAATCAATAACAGAAAGGTACAACTTACTCTTTATTTTAGCACATGCTGAAAATAGAGATGATAAACAAGGTCTCTTTCTGTGTGTGTGTGTGTGTGTGTGTGTGCAGCTAGCTTTTGTATATTCTGTCACATGGGCTTCCAGTAGACTTTCATCCAAGGTACTGATCTGAGCCACACTCAAATGAACTCCAGCCGTTCTGTAGTATTGGGTATTCCCCTGGTCAAGATTTATATAGATATAGATATTGATAACCCTTCAGTGACAATTAGTTCTCAGACATTTTCTGGATAGGAAGGTTGGTCTTCCTTCTCTACAAAATAATACTTTTTGTCCCAAATCGTGGTAAATGGATAGAAAGGGGCTAGTTTTTCAGCAAATAAGCTTAGCATTGCAGGGATTAAGGGGTGACTAATGTTTTCACCATTTCAAATGTAATAATTTTCAAAGAAAACTAAGTACCACATCATTCCTATTAAATTGTCATGCCTGACATAATGACATTACACTTGTGAATGAAAGATAGCTTGCATTTCTTAATTTATTGTGATCATAATGCTTTTTAGAATAAGAAAACCAGGAAGAGGAAAACATTTAAAAATTAGCTTGCATGTTTAGGCTGCAGTCCTCTACTCACATGGGAGTAAGAATTGAACTCAGTAAGGCTTCCATCTGAATAGAATAAGTTGTTAGGTTATAGCTATACAGTGGTACCTCAGGTTACATACGCTTCAGGTTACATACGTTTCAGGTTACAGACTCCGCTAACCCAGAAATAGTGCTTCAGATTAAGAACTTTGCTTCAGGATGATGGTGCTGCGGTGGCGCGGCAGCAGCAGGAGGCCCCATTAGCTAAAGTGGTGCTTCAGGTTAAGAACAGTTTCAGGTTAAGAACGGACCTCCAAAACGAATTAAGTACTTAACCCGAGGTACTACTGTACTGTATTGAGCACAATCCACTTGGAACTTCTGTTGCACATCTTCCATTAATTTCAGGCTTTATGCAACCTGAAGCAATAAGGCTGCCCATATCTGACACAAACTCCAAAAAATGTGAACTGGCCCGGACAGGGAGAAGAGACTTAGGAATGCTGAACTGGAAGATGAAGATAGGTATTGAGTTGCTTTTGTCTACATTTCAAATGCTGCTGTCATCTAGAAATTTCAGAATTTCATTTCACATCTGTTGAGCTATGACTGCACTTGATGAAAAATCCTTCACGGCCGAAGGAGCAAATTAAAAAAAAAAAATCGATCATAAGTTAATGGAAGAATATGGAGCTGAGACAAGTGTCGCTGTAGTTTCCAGAGAAAAACATCATGGAGAGCAGCAATGTTTTGTAGCCTTAGACCAAGTGGTGTTTGCTTTGGCACAAGCAGTTTAAAGCACTTGTCTTATCGCTGGCTGTATGCCTGGGCATTGCATTGTTCACTCGAAGACACAAATAGTTCACGTACAGAACAGAACATAAGCAGTGCCCCTAAATGAAAGGGCATTATTACGGATTCCTCTTTATGTTCAAATTACGATGTCAAAGCTTGAACCTTTCCTAAATTGCTTCATAAAGACAATGCATAGCAAATATTCAATGCAGACTTCAGATGACCAGACTGCTCTTGACTCCATGTTTATAAATATCAAAGAATCCCAATACTGTTGTAATAGAGGACATTGATGGGAACTTGCATTTTCCACGTTTGCTCCTGGGCCAGGCTTGCACTCTGATCCGATCAGTAAGGGGGCTTTGCTTGCTGAAGTTCTCTGCCTGCAATTTTCCTCTAGCTTTGTCTTGTTGGCAGGATCTTTCTCTCCTCACCTGATAGAAGCTGACAACAACTCATAGCATATAAATACTGTTTCTTGCATTACTGTGAGAAGAGCTTACAGACTCCTCTTAGGGAGATACGGCAAGCCTATTTCTTCTTCCACTGTGAGGGCGAAGGAGGTGGAAGAGCAAAAAAAAGGTCTGTTCTATAAACGCATTGCCTGCACTTAACATTATGGAAAGGCACACCAGGCTTATCAGGAAGCATCAGATTAGTATTTATGTGTACGTAATGTGGAGAATAACAATACATGAGCAAGTGTCTTGGATTCTGATTGGTTTGCCATTTGAATAATTGACCTAGGTGGCAGCCAAGCATGCTAAGCTGCAGATGAGAGCACATAATGGGTGTCAAGGTCGCTCTTCCAGCAATGGAAACCATAATGAGAATGGGACCGTTGGGATTAAGATATGCGACATTGACAAATCACCTTACACATGCTCTCTTTATGTTATTTTATTGAAAGATAATTTGTTTTCCTTTCTGCTGGAGTGCTTCATGGGAGAGAAACTCAGCTGGAGTGAACTTTCACCTTTGCAGTGAGCCAGGATGGTTTCGTCTGGGACAGAGTTTATTTTGCAGAGCAGATGCGTTAAAGTATTGCAGAGTCATTTCTGCTAGAAAGATGCAAGATCCTTTTGTAAGGAGGAAAAGGGGGCGAGTTTTTACTGCGAAATATAGAGCGTATTTGCTAACTAAATCCTAATTTACCCTTTCGGTTATGACTTCTAGGTTTGATGGTTTTTCAGGTAATACTCTACCTGCTCAATCAGTGATTTCACTACCGGCAGCCAGGTTGACAACCTTCGTGGAAGCCATATGACAATTGTTTTAACAAAGAAGCCAACTTGGATTATAACTGACAATAATAAGCCTTAAGTAGGGACAATGTCTCTAGCTTTCAGCCTTCTGTAAAGGCTTTCAGAATTCCTAAAGACAAAGACTTTCAAATATATTGAATATTTAAATAAATAAATATTATTTATTTTCCACGGAGGTAATTCAGGAAGGAGATATCTAAATCCTCCACCCTGAATTAGAGAATGCATGATAAGTAGGTCACCTGCAGCTTAGTATTCTGCAAGACTTCTATTTTCTTTTAAATATTCAAAAAATAATTTAGCAGATAGGTGACATAAAACACAACGTGTCGGGGAGAGGATTGGGTGGGTTTTCATTACCTGCAGAGCCAGTAATGGTTTCTTTGAAAACTTTGCTTTCAAATTAGATTATATTTCTGTACGAAACAAACATACCTGTTACATAAGATAAGAGACACAGTGTATGACGAATACCAAACCAGCATTTTTACCAACTCAGCTTCTTCTAAGAAGTCATATATTCTGATCATTTTCACAAAAAAGTTGCCAAACTTGCATCTTTGATTCTGTTATGCTAGTTTGCTCGAAACAGTAAACCTGTTTATGTCTGTATAGATAAGCAAAAAATACAGGACAGTGTAGATAATATCCTGTTAAAATAGCTAGATTTATTTATACATTTATGTTTAAAGCATTTCTATACTGACTTCCATCAAAAAATAATAAAGTACATTAAAAACAATAAGAAATACAGCAGCATTACAGAGCTAGAGCAAAGGCAAAACAGATGGTAATCAATGGCCCAAGAATACTTTTTTTAAAAAAGCAATTGCCATTAGCCAAGTATAACAGGCAGCTTCCTTATATGAAAGGGAAGGGTGCTTCACAACAGAAAAGGTACTCCTCCTGGTCTGTACATTTGTAACTATGGTTTGCTTAGTGCACATGTGGTGCTTAAACGTAGTTAGCACAAACCAGTTTGAAAATCTGTTTCAAGCTGTGGTTTCCTGTCCAGTTTGATGGTTAACTGTGGCCGACCTGTGTTAAGACGCAACACTTAACTGTAGTTTAATGCACATGCACCCATTCAGCATGGCGGCACAGAGGAGATTGGAAACATTTGCTTCCATGTTCAACTAACTGTAGTTTGCAATGTTCAAACTGGGATATGTTGTGTTTAGTTTAAACTGCGGTTGGTTTGAACTAAGCCAACTTCAAATGATGGATTACAATCGTAGCCTTTTCAGATAAACCATAGTTAAGTCTTAACTGCAGTTCCTGGTTCAGACAGAACGACAAACAGTTCGTTAAAAATGGAAACTCCTTCGGGAGGAAGTGTAGGATGAGAATTCAGTCAATCAGTAAGCAAAGGCTTCCTATCTCTTCGCAACCACAGCAGAGGAGGAAGGTGGACAGGGAGCAGGTTGTGCATGCAACTCTAAACTGTTACAAACCATGAACAAAACGATGCAAGCAGAACACTTAACCAGGAAAACAAACCACGATCAAGCATTCTGTGTTTATGCAGCCAATGTTGGTTATAGAAATTGTGTGCCACTGGCAACCCAGCAACAGGCACTTTGTGTATATGTTAGTGTACAGCACGGGGTTTTTTCCTACTTTTCAGGATTATCATCAGTTTGTACTTTGTCTGGTGCTAAAATCTACGCATCATCTTCATGCTTACCTTTACATGTCTTCCATGTCAAAGCAGCCTGTACTTTGGCTACTTGCCTACCCAGAGTTTGTAAAGTTTGTAAAGTGTGTTGAAATGGCATCTCACAGCCTACCACTTTGGTTATTCTAATTTATTTTAATATTCCACAGAAACAGCATTTAGTATCCGGTGTGACATGAAAGTTAGATGGCCATTACTGCAGAGGGAAATCAGTATTAAGTTACAGGAGTTTTCCTGTTATTGTCCTGGCAGCATTCTGAAAACAGGAATTTCAGCAGTTGTCTTTGGAACTGGAACAAGAACATAACAGATCTAAGCAGGTTAGGGAACAAAATATACCTATAAACTGTATTAGGAAAACATAATTCTTGCCGCATTGTAACATAACTTATTGAGAAACAACAGCTGGATTGTGAGTGAATAATAGGAAATCTCTGCTAGATATTTTCAGACATGGTCAGATATATGCAAACATGGAACTGCATACGGGTTAACTGTGTGTGTGTGTGTGTGTGTGTGTGTGTGTGTGAAAAACTTTAAGTACAGTGCTGAGATGATTGCATGCAAGCAATTACAAGACCGTGTTTGATGTTCATTTATTTTCTTAAAAAGGAAATTGCTTTTGCTTTTGCCTAATCCGTTCTGTGGATCACTTGTTGCTTTGTTTGCAGTACAGTATCTTAATTATCACTTCAGGTTTTGTTGCTTTATTAAGCAAGAATAATTGGGCCTGCTCTGATTTTGAATTCAGCAGATTAATAAAAAGCTATGTTGATGCCTGAATCTGTTCTTTCCCCCAACTTCATTCTCTTTATTTTATTATATAAATACTATATAATAGTGTGTGTGTGTGTGTGTGTGTGTGTGTGTGTTTGTGTTTGTATACACAGACGTACGCAGGTGGTGCTGTGGTCTAAACCACGGAGCCTCTTGGGCTTGCTGATCAGAAGGTCAGTGGTTTGAATCTGCATGACTGGGCAAGCTCCCGTTGCTCTGTACCAGCTCCTGCCAACCTAGCAGCTTGAAAGCACACCAGTGCAAGTAGATAAATAGGTATCGTTGCGGCGGGAAGGTAAATGGCATTTCTGTGAGCTCTGGTTTCCGTCACGGTGTTCCATTGTGCCAGAAGCGGTTTAGTCATGCTGGCCACATTACCTTGAAAGCTGTCTGTGGACAAACGCTGGCTCCCTTGGCCTGAAAACGAGATGAGCGCCGCAACCCCATAGTGTCCTTTGATTGGCCTTAACCATCCAGGGGTGCTTTACCTTTACAAAAAAAAAAAAAATACACACACACACACACACACACACACACTTATTATATATTAAATAACACGCACACACAAACACACATACACTTTTTTTTGTATCTCTCAGTACTTGTGCTAACGTAACCCTCTTAGTCGGGTCAGCAAACTTTTTCAGCAGGGGACCGGTCTGCTGTCCCTCAGATCTTGTGGAGGGCTGGACTATATTTTGAAAAATAAAAATTAAAAAATGAACGAATTCCTATGCCCCACAAATAACCCAGAGATGCATTTTAAATAAAAGGATACATTCTACTCATGTAGAAACACCAGGCAGGCCCCACAAATAAATCAGAGATGCATTTTAAATAAAAGGACATATTCTACTCATATAGAAACACGCTGATTCCTGGACCGTCTTCAGGCCGGGTTAGGAAGGCGATTGGGCCGGATCCGGCCCCTGGGCCGTAGTTTGCCTACCCATGCTCTCAATCATAGAAATGGGTTGCAAAACTACTCATGCCCTGGGACCCTTCCTCTTGCTGAAGCAGAGCCCTGCCTCTCGTGCTTAATGGAAACATCAGAGCAAGCTGGCTGGGCGATGCAAGAGCAGACCCAGCTGCTGTGTGTGTGTACACCACCCATTTATGCAAGTATGTACTTAGTAAAATATTTATATCCCATACTGTGTCTCCCAACAACGGGAGCGTCAAGGTGTTTAATGCCATTAAAAAAACACAGCACACCGTAAAACGATTTAACGGACCACCACAAAATAACAGTTTCAGGAAGAACAGAAAGAAAAATGGGATCCCGTTCTTTTTCAAGCAAAGCCATGGTGGAATTGAACAGTTTCTGGAACGTGTCAATATGGATGGCAGCACAAGTCAAGAGTCACACAACATACAGGAACAATAGAGGCTGCCTTGTACAGAATCATTGGTCCAGCTAGTCCACACTGGCAACATCTGTATTTCCTAGTCCCGTCCGGGGATGCTGGGATTGAAACTAAGCATGTGCTCTTGTGTGGTGTTTTGGTTCTGGCATAAGGCCCTGTTCCTCTTTACTAAAGACCTTAGAAGGCAGACAGGTAAAGAGACAAAGCGCCTTCAAGTGCCCTTTCCTAAACAGTTTAGGGCAAAGGTTCCCAAACCATGGGAAACATCTGGAGTGCCACAGGTTCTCTGTCTCTGAGTTAGGTATATGTTACTGATAGGGCCTGCTTAGTGGTGGTGCCTTAGTTGTGGAATTCCATCCTCTTCTAGTACTAAATTTGATACATTTGATGAGCCAGGTAATGTTATTCAAAACATACATTGTTAGCTGTGTTTAAAATGTTTTATTTAAAGGTAGGCTTTTTTTTTTTAACAGAAATAAAGATACATTCCCCTCTGTGCATATCCCCCTAACCGTGTAACGATGATTATATAAAGCAGGCTCTTACAAGAAAGAAAGCTGTTGTCATTTTTACACTGAGGTATAAATTAGGTATAAATTAGAAGTAAAATAGATCCTGAACCTTATTTTTCATATGTTTTGGAATGGGCTCCACATCAGCAGTTCCACTGAACACAGTAGGCCTTATTTTTGTGGAAGCATGCATAGGGTTGTGCTACAAGGATCTTAAATTCTGGAGTACTCGCTCGCTGCTAGCCCTGCCTTTTAATCAGGGAGCAAGTGTTAATCTGAGATTAAGACTTTAATCAATCATTCATACCAGTTAATTAATTAAAGCTTCTGGCCTTTGTTCTTTCCTTTGCTGATGTATCTGGGTTACATTGGGTTCTGCACTGGTGCGTGTGGAAAATAAGTGATTAAAACGGAACAAGCAAAAACACCCAAATATAAAACCCATAATATTTCCAAGAATATTAAGAACCGGGCTCTGGCAATTCTTCAGGGAAAGGGACTTCCACAATTTGTAAGCCAGAGTGATTCAACCAGCTATAACTGAAAGGTATACAGTACAGTGGTACCTCAGGTTACATACGCTTCAGGTTACAGATGCTTCAGGTTACAGACTCCCCTAACCCAGAAATAGTACCTCAGGTTAAGAACTTTGCTTCAGGATGAGAACAGAAATCGTGCTCCAGCGGCGTGGCGGTAGCAGGAGGAGGCCCCATTAGCTAAAGTGGCACCTCAGGTTAAGAACAGTTTCAGGTTAAGAACGGACCTCCGGAATGAATTAAGTACTTAACCTGAGGTACCATTGTATGTACTTTCCATCAGGGCCCCCAAGTTCAATTCCAGACGACAACAACAACAAGGATCTCAGGTAGCAGGACCAACAAAGATCTTCACTTGAACCTTCTGGAGTCCTACCAGTCAGAGTAGACAACACTTGGTTGCTGTGCTTTCATTTGTTTTGAAGGAGGAGGAAGGAAGCAACGTGAAAGATCTCTGCTTAGGATAGTAGAGTTGATGCAAATCAGAGTAGGTAGTATCAAGTACCATACTCTGACTTGGTGGCTTGCTGTGTTTCCATAGTGGCTCCTCGGCAGCTCAGCAAAACTCCTTTCCTATCTTCTGAGATTGCAAAAATAAAATAAAAATGGATTGGTAAGCACCTGGAAGGCACAATAACAGGATAAATCAACTTGTATCTAAAGCTGCACATAATCCTACCTTGAATATATATTCCAAGACAATTGGTTGTATTCAGCTAGGCTTTTCCCAGAGCAGAGCTATTGAAATCAACATACCTAAACTAGTCATGACCATTGATTTCAGTGGGTGTACTCTGAGTAAAGGCTAGCTGAATACAGCCCATATGTAGGCACACTACATTAAAAAAACCAAAACTACTGTTGCTGATGCTGCCAATCAAAGCAGATTTGGACCTTTAAACAGCTAGTGTGAGAGATGAAAAATGGGTTTTCCAGCAGCTGCTGCTGCAGTATATATATATAAATACTCTTCAGAGATAACCCACCAGCCTTATAAAGCAGTAAAGGAAAGAAAACAACATTTCAACAGAGATCCTAATAGCCATAAAATTCCAAAAATGGAAATGATTTGCTTTCATTACATAAAGTGTCCGTTAGAGCTTCAAATAACGAAATAAACGTTGAGAATGGAAAGCTTCCCTGTTGAACTAGTCTCTGTTTACGTTTCAGTAATCCAGGCCATAAAAGCAGTGTGGTGCAAATGCTCCTTTCTTAGGAAGCTCTCAGAAGACCAAGGGACCACACAGTGCTCCCCGTATAGAATATTTACATTTTGAGCAGTGCATCTGTACCTCTGGCTTTCAGCCATGGTGGCGGCAATTTAGTCTCGCCACCTGGCTGTCAAAATATTAGAAAATTTGACTCAAGAATGGGATGGATGGCTCAGGTGTTACTTTATAATCTTTGGACTTTAGTTCAGTAAAGTTTCTTAAAACAACTAACAACATGGCAAGGTGCTCAAAATGTGCTGCAGTGATTGAACTTTAAAGGTAAGTAGAAACGTTAATAATTTGGGAGGCCAGAGGGGTGGGGAGGTTCAGAGTAGAGGAAGTAGAAAAATATGCATAAACTAAATCGGCCGCTGTACGTATTATTTTAGTTTCATTTCTCAAAAGAAATTGTAAGATGTTGTATGTGCACTGTAAGTTTATTTTGTGCAGAAGAATAGGTTGTGGATTACTGACTTGAGGATACAGTAACCAGGCTTAACATATAAAGGCATTTTAATATTTTCTGGAATGCTCTTTGGATTTCATTACCAAGGAATGTGAACAGTAAAAGTTGTCTATCCTTTTTAGGACCTCTTTAGAAGGTAGTTGCAACAAAAGAGCAGTAAAAGATGTTTAAACTTTTAAATACTCTTAGGCGAAATCTGAGCATATTATACATTTCAAAATTTGAAAAATGCAGTCATTACAGTGACTTATTACTAAAATGCAGCCATTATCTGACTAGCTTGTAGCAAAGAAGAAGAAAAGTTAGTACCACTGGGCTAATGTGGGTAAGAAGAACCTTAGAAAGTTTGAAGCTACAATAAATTCTCTATTTCAGAGAAGTTGTTGCATGCATTATGTCTACAGCGGTACTGTACAAATCCTATTATTTCCTCTGAACTGTTCAATCCAGTATTTTTCTTGTAAATACAGATGGGATTAGTTTTACTGAACTGAAACAATATTAGATAATGCTGTGTTGGATAAGAGTGCTGTGGTACTCTATCACACATTTCCAATCCAAAAGCTGGGATTCAGAGAGCGAATTTAGGTTTTGTAAGTGCCCACTTGGTCTGCCAAGGGGTGGGGGGGTGGGAGGGGAGGCTGTTCTCTTAGCCCAAAGCCCCTTTAGACATGTGGGATGTTGCTTCTCAGTTATTCTGATCCTGGCTTGAGTCTCCAATAGGCTACAAAATGCATCAAGTTTCCTTTTGATGCCTTTCCTCCCCTTAACACTTTCACAGATTTGCTTCCTCCCAACTGCAACCCCTTGTCTCCTTGTGTATTTTTGGAAGGGCAGACAGAGAGACTGTCTGCATCATCAGTGGGAGAAATCAGTGAGTCATAGCGCTCAGTTTATGAGGAGCATTGTTTCATTCGAATCTCTCTTGCCAAGATGCTGACAGGGAATTTGAGTCATCAGCAGCAAACAAGCTGTAAAGAACTTGAATCTGTAGGATAGAATGGCTCCGGGAGGGAAGGAGGAAGGCAATCACCGATAATATCCACAGCTTGGGATACAGTTTTCGAGAAGGGTTGTGCTGGTATTATTATTTTGCCCAAGTATCCGAATCTTCACCGCAACCTTGTATAGTATTCATATTCTTGCCTGCAGGTCTAATGGAAAATTCTGTCTCCAGTCTGGTTCTTTATGTGTGGCTTATTGCAACTGAATTGTTTGGGTTCAAACTGGAGACAACTCTAGGGTGTTGTTTCCCAGGTTTCTGATAGCTGGTGCACTCTATTTTTGAATTTTTTGGGGAAGCATTTGATTTTTCACTCTCCGGCAGTAAATGTTTTGGCCATACAGGTAGAATTTGCCTGCTGTCAGAGACTGCCTTTGTACAGGTTAGACTATTTTGCCCATCTAGATAGACTACGGTTGCCCACTCTGACTGGCAATAGATGTTCGGGGTTTCAGTCAAAGGTGTTTCACATCACCTGCTACCCGATCCCCTTTTTTAACTGGAGAAATGGCAGGGGGTTCTGCTTTATGTGAAGAGTGTGTTCTCTCGCTGATATATAGTTCCTCCTACTAATTCTATTAAATACCTTGTATTATCTGAAATAAGGTTGTGTTACGTTAAATGTGAAGGCTATTCACCATGATGTTCTACCTCCACGATTGGAGGCAATGTGCCTCTGTATACCATTTGCTGGGAATTAAGAGTGGGGTGAGTGCTGTTGCTCCCGGGTCCACCTTGCAGGCTTCCCAGAGGAACAATCAGCCTGGAAATTACTGATCTAGGGGCTTATTTATGTGGCACTATTCTCTACATGCAAGCAGTCCTAACTATCCACGGGAATAGACTGTCCATTGGTCATTTCTTCTCCATATCTGGCCGCTAGGGAATAGATTATACCCTCCCCGATTCTTCTGCAGTTAGTGATAAACCAAAATGTAGGATCTTGCTTTCAATAACTAGTTTTATTTCCTTGTCATCCCTTCTTCGGGTTGTGTTTCGGTATATGCCAGAAGTATAATTCTGCAAAGGAAAAGAAAAGTGTGATGAAAACATATGCTCCGTCCGGTTAATGTTTTCCTTAATAGCATCTTCAAATGAAAGCAGGATATTACTTTCCTGTTTGTGTGTGCACGTTTTTTTAATAAACACAGCTCTGAGCAAGACCTTGCAAAAATACATTGGATAGAGTTGTCTGTGCACTATGGGGGGCGAGGGGGGGGGAGTTCAGAAAATGTATTTTGTAATGCCACCTTGCATGCACTGTATATTAATGAGCGCCTAAGCACCTGCTGCCTGCATTTCCCTTTTGAAACCTAAATTTAAAACAAACCACACTGGGATGAATATGACCACAGAAAGGGGACTGGGTTACTGAGTGAAGTATTTAAACTAGGTGGGGGAAAACAAAGCAGCTTTCTAATTCTTCTGGGGGAGGTTAATTCCAGTCTTCTTTCTGTGCTTTGTGGCATGTAGTCTCAGTAGTGCTTGGAAAATTCATTTTTAAAAAGGAATTCTTTGAAGATCGAAAAAAAGGAAATTAGTTCCAGTTCATCCTTTTGCAAAACAAACCAGTTCAAGTTCATCCGATGAACTTTTTTAGTTCACCCTTGGCAAATTCTCTTTGGCTTTCAGAATGTTACAAGCTGCTGTGCTAAAGTACTGTATAGGGTCCAAAAGTAAATCAGGGGGGCACACACAAGTAATAAGATAGCTGCTATACATAATGTTAGCATAATTGTATTTCTATACTAGAAAAGGCTTACCCTATTTAATTTGTACCAACCATACAAGTGTTAAAGACACAGCGCATCATCCACTTTCTTCCTGTATTTCTTGCTGCAAGCTGCTCCTGTGGGAAGAGACACAATCTCTTCAGCAGGCAAGAAAACGATTTATAATCAATATCATAGTAAAATAGAAGTCAGTCGGGTTTCCTGCGATCCAGACATCCCTCTGCATTAAAATAAAAAATCTTAGCAGATGTGATGTGCTCTTGTCCCTCAAAGACGGCAAATATTATTTCCCAATGTGATGTGAAAACTGTGAAATTCAGTATCTCAGTCTATTGTGGCTTTGCCATTGCTACCGCCTTACTGTTACCAAACCAAACGTTGCAAGGATGTGGAAGCAACAATAGTGGTAGAATCCCCCCTTTTATTCAATTCCTAAAGCACCAGAGTCCACCCAGGACCTACACCTGGCAGCCCTATGACCCCTTGCCTCCCACTATGCTTTTCTCAACTATGCTTCCCTCCCCTGATGCTCTTATATATATCCCCCAACTTCCTTCCGCTATGTGGCTCTGGGCTCTTGGCCACTTAGGCTTCTTATGCTCTAAGGCCTTATCCCCATCAATGCAGCCCATCCCACATAGATTTCCTTTCAGTAAACCCTATATGAGGTTTTAAGTCCAGGCAGACAGATAGCTATCCCTTTCTTTAAAATAAATAAATAACCTGGATGGTGAAGCTTTCCTTGCCGAGTTCTTGGTCCTCTGAGCATTTGCGGTGTTGTCTTCCATCACGTCAGCTCAGCCAACTGCTGAGAATGCCAATAATATTTTCAGCTTAAACTTCAGTGGAATGAAAAGTCTCATTTGCTCGCTTGAGCAAAGGGACTTAGTTGCTTGAAGTACCTACCTTATGTCCTGAGGCTGGAATCTCTGAGGTAGGAAACAGGAATGTGCAACGTTGGCTGCTGATAACAGAAGCCGATGCAGCGCCTCTAGATTGGCCGGTCCTGCTGAAAATGCTAGGAGTCTGCCCTTCTATTTACTGCATCCCTGGCCTCCAGGCTCCAGCTTCTAGTAGCTGAATTAAGAGACCCTGGTCTGAAGCACACATCTATATTCAGACCCGAGAATAAAGCAGAATATGAATTGGGCTATACTGGGGCAATTGTCTTTAATGAAAAGACTGCCAAAATAAAATTAAAATCCATATCGCGACCTATGCTTAAACATTTTAATTTATCAAAGCAATACACTAAGGTTCTAATCTTTTTCTTCTTTTGGGGGGGCTTCATGCAGCTGAGCACATAGGGTTTGTGCATTTCGTTTTACCTGTCAGAAAGCTCATCCTAGCCGCAGTGCTGAAGGGTAGAAATGTTGTCTTTTTATAGCTTGATCGTGGGAAGTACGATGTGCTTCTGCTTTGCATTTTGTCTTGAAATAGTGCTTGGAAGCTTAGCCAAATGTTTATATTGTCATTTAAATAGTTCACCAACAGTTCCAAATCTTTTGTGTGCCCTTCATGCCTGATTAAAGAATCCCATTAATAGTTGAGGAAATGCTAATTGGTAATGTCTTTTGCCAGCCATTACGTCCCAAGCATTCTATATAATCCACTGTTGATTAACTTAATGAAGGCTGATGTAGTTTTGTGTGGCAGAGTATCTGAATGACAATGCAACCCTCTCGGTTCTTGGAATCTCCACCCGACGGTATAAACTACTCTGGGTGTTTAGTTGCCAAAAATGTCTGCAGTGTAAATTAGATTTTTCTAGGCAGAATGAACGTAATATGCTTTCAATTGTTTGTTCATTACAATCATCAAGACAAACAGTGGCAAAGTGTATGGTACCTCAACTTAAGCAGGCAGGCTGTGTCTTCATTCAAACTCTTATTGATTTCTCTTTTCTTTCCTTGGCAGGTGACATCACACAGAAGGGCTATGAAAAGAAGAGATCAAAATTAATTGGGGCCTACTTGCCACAACCTCCGGGTATGTAGAAATGTACAAGCAATGCATGGAGCTGTCGTGTGTATTGATCATTAAGCCAGAATATTAATGTGTGTCTTTGGGGGAGATTATCTGAGGCACAAAGGAACCTGTCGCTGTCATGCAATGGATGTAGATTTCCCCACCAGCCAATTCTCATGTAGAAATGTGCGTCTCCTTGTATAATTAAGTGGTTGGTGCACATACTGGATGAGATTTTAAATTCCTTTTGGTAAACTTTAAACAACGAAAGAAGCAAACTGTTTAGGAATAAACACTTGAACCAGAGGGCAAACATTGAACATAAACATATAAAATATGCAGAAGGATCCTTTCCCCATTTAAGATTTCACTTGTGGAAACCCAGAAGTAGTGATCACCAGCAGGAATGGATTCAGAAATGAATCATGCATGCAGCAAAATCCTAGTCAATTAGGATTAAAGTGGCTTATACCTAGGCACTCCAGCGTTGCAAGGCTGTGGGCCACAACTATAATCATTTTGGGGTGATGCAAACTTTAATAGACGTGCATACAACAAATGAAAAGGAGTTGGGATGACTCCGGCACCAAGATCATCCAACTTTGGGGGGGGGGTGTGGTCTTCTGTTTTCTCTCCTGCCTGTTCTCTGATGCAACGGTATATGACCTTGTACAATTGACGAGGCAGGCTCTACCACTTTGTGAGATAAGGATAAGAAGTTCTTGCCCTTATTTAAAACCTAATTAGATGGCATCAAGTTTCATTTCAGAGGCAAGATGCCTCATATTATCAAATGCTGACAAGCAAAAGAACGGGGATGGTTATATCCATCTTGGCTTGCATCTCTGGGATATCAAGATAGCCAATATCAGAGACAGTATGATGGGCTAGATGGAATGTTGGTCATATCTGTTGGGATTTTAGCCCCCACCAGTTGCCATTTTTTCTTCTTGAATAAATGGGATTTCTTTGCTTGGGGCTAGGGTGCCACGTAAAGAGCATACCACATTAACATTTTCATTCCCCAGGCCTAATAAACTTGAACTTTAAAAGGGGGTGGAATACACTCTTCCACTCATGTGTACTACTGCAAATTACCTGGAAAATATGCAAACTGACAGGGAGAATTATAATTGGATGTATATATGAAAGTGTGTTATAAGTTCTATGGAGCTTTTTAAAAAATGGGAGTCATGTAATATATAGATATAGATATATAGCTATGTAAACACAATATCCAGTTCCCATGTTACAGAGTGGCAGAACATGTAGCCTTGCTACAGTCTTGTTGCAATGGAGTCATTGTGGTGGAATTTCCAATATTTTTAAACACCCCATCATTAAAAGCTTCTTTTCCCTTTGGCAATTTCTCCTTGGTTCATGATATGTCGAGACATGAGGGGAGACTCGGCAACCCCCCAGCTTTTTTCCACTTGCTGTGGTTGTGGCACCACAGGGCATTCTGTTCAGGTCAGGCTTTGAATCCACAGAGTGCTAAGACAGAGTGGTTACTATCCTTAAGTTGTAGTTACGCAATAGCAGGTCTTCCAGGCAGGGAGCCCAAGTTCAAGTTGAACGTGTTGGCTGACTGAAACAGGGTCAGACTCATGCCTGCTTCTCACCTGAGGTGGTGAAACTTAGTACTGCGGATGGGGGTTGATATAATGAAATGTAGCTCCAATCCAAATCAAATCAAAACTCTCCACATAGAAAACAGGGCTAGTTTGAGCTAGAACTCTTCTCCTTGATATCTAGTTTTTAATGTAGAATATATTTTGGTTTAGAGAGGAGAAGTTAATCATGTGGACACCACACCTCCTTAAAAAAAGAAAATAAAAGCTAGCACACCAGGAATAGGGAGCCTCTGATTCTTCAGATGTTGTTGGATTCCAACTCTCCTCAACTCGACTTTTGATTTGGTTGGCAGGGGCTGATAGAAGTTGTACTCCAACATCTGGAGGCCACAGGTTTACTATCTCTGCACTACATGGAGTATACAAAGTCCAGGGCCTGTTTCTCATTATTTTGTTGCGTTAGGGCTTCTTCTTCAGTATAATGTAGAAATTAAAGTTAGTAATTAAGTTTAAGTGGAAATAATCAAGCCTTTCCTCCTTGTTCTCTTGATCCTGCAGGTACAAGCTTGGAAATAATACTGAAAAGTTTTGTACATAAGTGCACACAGATGTATAATCAGAACTGTATATGTTGTCCAGTGTTGAGAGAAAAGAAATCTGTGCCAAGATAATAGAAATTGTACACTAGGAAAACTCAGTTATACCACTTATTTATATTATTCAATTTATGCAAACATAATTTTGTCTTCTTTCCATAGTTCATCCTGCCATTTTAAACACTCTGCATAATTTAATTTGCTTTTGCCAGTCATGGGAACAGATAAGGAACTGTAATGAAGGGTATTAAATCTCTGCTCCCAGCCCCTGGAAAACTTGTTCCATCACTGCTCTGTCTTTTGAGAGCTCAGCAACACTATTAACACACTTTAATACATATATATGTAGCCAGAAAGGCTATAAACTTGTTCTTTATAAAACAAGGTTATAAGGATGCTGTTGAAGCAAATGTTCACTCTTTTGTGGAAATGTGAAAAGGACAGAGGGTACCCATGTTGCAGTATGTTGTTTTTATTGTGCCAACAAGATGAACATACGTTAAAGTTACAGCCTGTTTTTTCTTAAGTCAGAAGTTCTTTAATGTGTTTGTAGTATTGTTCGTTCCTATATATGTGTCTCCAGTCCTTTCCAGACAAAATTGGTGTTTTCATACGATGGGAGACTCTCTTTACCCTCGATTCATAAGAGTGGGCAATTGTCGCCCCCGCCCCACAACAAATTGTCATTAAATGCAAGTGGAGTTGCAGAATGGTTGGAGCCACGGTCTGCGGCCTGTTTTACTCATTCATTTGTTCGCCATAATCCCTTGGGAAATGAAAGCATTGATAACATTGGGTATTTGACCTCGCATTTCAGAGAGAGACTTTTTTGTTTATCTTTAAAATGATGTGGCTGAATTTACCACATAGATTTTTTGGGGGGGGGGAAGGGAAGGTTGGGGTAAGATGTTTTCCCCCTTTGGTGCAAACGTGCCCACCAGACTGACAGTAAAACCACAAGGCAGTTCCCCACTGTCCCAGCATCCAGTCCTCTTGCTGCTGCTTTGCTGACATTACAAACACCAGTGTTGGCAGAGTGGGAAATTGATTCTGTGGCTCCGTACTGTAGTGTTTGTATGTGCCTGGGGTGTGTACACGTGTGTGTGTGTGTGTGTGTGCCCGCCCGCGCGTGGGCTTGCGTGTTGCACACATTTCACTGCATGGGGGCAGAAGCTCCATCCGTTGCTGTAACAAATGTAAAAAAACTAAAACGTGACTTAATTAGTTTTTTTCAACTTGTTACAGCGGCGAATGGAGCTGCTGCGGTTCGGTGTAGACTACAGCACAATGAAGGGGCCACGAGAAGGACGCTGCGCACTAGCAACATTGGGGTCTGTGACATCCGGGAAGCAGCAGCTAGAGAGCGCACAGCCCCACACAACACAGCGGCAAACCGGCCTCTCTTTTACTTTCGCTTTGGTGAGCACAAAAAATATATGCATATCTTTTTATATATCTATGTGTGTGTGTGTTTTTAACAAGCCTATTAAGAAAGGTATTATTTCATCTGATTTTTTTTTTTTTAAGGGCTTTGGGATATATATTTGATGTGGCTAGTTGAAGAGGTCAAATAATAAAAGGTCACCCTTGATGTCCCAGAACTGTAACACACACCGCCTGTTTTCTTACAAGAAGCACATGTCTCTGGTGCAGATCACATGCGGACTCAATATACAAAAGAGCATGATCTGCAGTTGCTATTTGCTGGACCACAAGGACACCCGCATTTCTGCTTCTGTTGCTGAGTGCTGAAAATGAAGAG